TATTCTTGCCTGGAGAATTCTATGGACACAGGAGCCTGGAGGGCTACAGTCCATGGGGTCAAAAAGAGTCGGACATGACTAAGCAACTAACACTTCCCCTATTTCCAGAATTGGTAAGAGTGGCTCACTATACCTAAGTTCTTTGTACAACAACGTTGTTGTTCAGTCACTTAGTTGTGTCCTATTCTTTGTGACCCCACGGACTGCAGCACGTCAGCCTGCCTTATCCTTCACTGACTCCCAGAGTTTGCTCAAACTCATGTCTTTTGAATCAATGATGCCATCCAACCATCTCATCCTCTGTTGTCCCCTTCTCCTCCTGCTTTCAATCTTTCCCAGCATCAAGGTCTTTTCCAATGAGTTGGCTCTTTGCATCAGGTGGCCAGAGTATTGGAGCTTCAGCTTCACCATCAGTACTTCCAATGAGTATTCAGAGTTGATTTTCTTTAGGGTTGACTGGTTTGATCTCCTTGCAGTCCAAGGGACTCTCAAGAGTCTTCTCCAGCACCACAGTTCCAAAGTGTCAATTCTTCGGTGCTCAGCCTACTTTATGGTCCAACTCTCACATCTGTACATGAATACTGGACCTCTGACTATATGGATCTTTGTTGGCAAAGTAACATCTCCATTTTTTAATATGCTGTCTAGGTTTGTCATAGCTTTTCTTCCAAGGAACAAGCTTCTTTTAATTTCATTGCTGCAATCACCATCTGCAGTGACTTTGGAGCCCAAGAAAATAGTCTGTCACTATTTCCATTCCCTCTCCCCCCCATCTATTTGCCATGAAAAGATGGGACTGGATGCCATGATCTTAGTTTATGCTGTTCATGCAAGCAATGCTGAATACCTGTTTTCTTTCTGGAAGTCGAATTTTGGCACATGCTAAACAAAGAGTGCTTATATAACCAGCACTCAAGAAAACCTCTAGGTACTGAGCCTCTAACAAGCTTCCCCTGCAGACAGCAGTTTCACACTTTTGTTGTTACAGCTTTTTCCTGGGGAATACACTGTGTTTTCTGTGATTCCCCATGGGAAAGGAACCTTGGATGCTTGTGCCTTGTTTTGGTGGGACTTCATCCCATGTGCTTTTTCTCTGTGCTGACTTTAGCTTTGTATCCTTTAGCTGTGATAAATCGTAGCCATGAGCAGGACTAAATACGAGTCCTGTGGGTTCTCCTACTGAGTCAGTGAAGCTGAGGGTGGTCTCGGGGACACCCGACACAGGTTCTCTCAGCTTGTCTGGATCCCACTTCCCTGAGGCCTTCTTCCCTGGTTCCCACAATGGGGAGTGATTGTCCCCTAGGCCCAGTGGAGCTGTATCAGCAGACTTTGGAAACAGGGTCTTGGATCAAATCCTGCTTTGGCTGGCATGGTGCAGGCCCTGGTACATGGCCCCTCTTGTAAAGATTGGTCAGTACCTGTGTCTGGTACTTAATCATGGCTGGTTCAACCTCCCTAAGAGCACAGGCTTGGCAGGCAGACCTGGGTTTGAATCCCTGCTCTTAATTTTCTTTCTGTGATCTTGTTTCTTCATCTCTAAAATGGGTGGAATTGTGTTTGATAGAATCATGCAAAATACTGCCCATAGGGTCTGGCACACAGTCACTGCGCAGCAAATGGGAACTTTTACAGTTGTTTTGGTTGTCGGTGTGAAAGTCTGAAAGTCTCCCCAAATAGACAGGAAGCATCTCACTGTTTTTTGTTACTTTCTCAGGTTCCAGCATTCTTACCCAAACTAGGTGCTTGAAACTTTGTTGAAAGGATAATATTTTACTCTGTAGTGAAAGGTATGAGTTTGTTGCAAAATAAAAACCAAAGTAGTTATTACCATGTAAAAAAATCACATTTGAGTGATTATGTGCCGTGCACTGTGCTAAACAGTTTGCATAGACAATTTATTCCATTTATTCTTTACAACAACCTTGTGAGTGCGGTGCTACTATCTTTATCACCTTTTTTGTTTTGGCCGTTGCACTGGGCATTAGAAGAAAGCCAGATAGGAAGGTCAGCCACTCATACTCTCGTGGGCTTTCACATCCACTAGGTGTTCTAAAGGAACCTACTGAATTATTGTGTAGGTGTGATTTTGTTCATTTTTTGGCCACACAGCCTTGCATGTGGGATCCTAGTTCCCCGACCAGGGATCAAAACCGCACCCCCCACCCCTGCATTGAGAGCACAGTCTCAACCACTGGACCGCCAGGGAAGCCCCTATCATCACTGTTTTGAAGACGAGGAAATGAAGCTTAGCACAACTGTGGACTCATGCAAATTAGCGGCAGAGCTGGAATTCAAAACCAGGTGTATTATTAATAATCTACTCAGGCTGCTGTAACGAAATACCACAGACTGGGTGTCTTAAACAACAGAAGTTAATTTTCTCGTGGTCTGGAGGCTGGAAGTCCAAGATCAAGGTTGCCGTCAGGGCCAGTTTCAGTATCCAGTGAAAAGTCTGCTCCTGGTTTACCGACAGTGGGCGTCTCCCCGCTTTCTGCTGGGGCCTTTCCCCGTGCACGACTATGAAGACTGAGCAAGGGAGCTCTCTGCTGTCTTTTCTTGTAAGGACACTCATCCTGTCAGATCAGGCCTTCGCCTTTACAACCTCATTTATCCTTAATTACTTCGTTAGAGGCTCCAAATACACCCACAGTGGAAGTAGGGCTTCAACATACGAATCTTGGGGAGCCACGTTCTATCCACAACACCAGGTTTGTCTGACACCAGGGCAAACAGTCACAAATTACTCAACCCCTTGACTTGTTCTACCATTATATTAGGAACCATGTGGGGTTGGGAGGTAGATGCTTAATTTCCTTCCCTCGGTCAGAAACATTAACCCAAGTAGGACTGCTAAGCTTCCAGAGGTCTAGAAGCATCTCCCTAGAGGGCTTTGTCAGGGAACACTTGAGCGGGCTTCTGGATTGAGAAGTTTGGCTATACTTGGAGTTTAGGTTAAAAGGGAAAGAATTTGGAAGAGAGGGGAAACCATGTCTCAGAAATAAAAGTCTTTTCTTTTTAAAAAAACTGCTTACCTGGCTGCACCCAGGTCTTAGTTGCAACATACAGGCCCCTTTAGTTGCAGCATGCAGAATATTTGGTTGTGCTATGCAACTTGTGGTTTCGGCATGTAGGATGGTTTCCTAACTGGAAATCAAGCTTGGGCCGCCTGCATTGGGGGCACAGTCTTGGCCCCTGGACCACCAAGGAAATCCCAGAAATAGTCTTTTCTATCTATTCCCCTGATCAGAAATGGTTTGCACAGTGGCCTTTCCAGCCAATGGCAATAGGTAAGGAGAAGTTTCTTTGAAGTGCCGCCAAAAATGTCGTTCGGAGCAAATTCATTGATCTCTTTTTGTGGTAGGATAGTTTCAGTCTTGATCTTTGTTCTGAGGAAGGATGGAAAATTGTCTACAGGCATATTTCAAATACTCGTTTCGTTTCCTTCTTAGCAGAAGCACCCAATCTAATCAGGACTTTTTGCTTGCTTTGTAATTATTTACTTAAAGGACTTCCTGTGCATGTTCAGATAAGTAACTCATTCTTCTTGTAAATTATGAGGGGCTTGGAGATTGTACTGATATTCCTAAATACCATTAAGCCAGACAGCTGCTGTGGTTTATTTGCCTTTAGAAAGGTCCATAAATCCTGAAACGTTAACTGAGTGTAACTGGATTCACAAGCTATAAATTCTTAAGACAGTGATGAGGGAAGATGCAAAAGAACTCCAGTTTATCTTAAAAAAAAAAAAAAATTATTTATTTGGCTGTGGCAGGTCCTACCATGGAGGATCTTTAGTTGCAGCATGTGGGATCAGTTCCCTGACTGGGGCTTGATCCTGGGCCTCCTGACTTGAGGGCACAGAGTCTTAGCCACTGGACCACCAGGAAAGTTCTAGGAGCTGCAGTTTTAAGCTCTAGGAGTAATATTTAAACCTTGGTTCAGAACCCTGAATTTTTTCATTTATAAACAAGCAGTTCTAAGAGTTTGAATGCTGCTTCTCAGAATTTTCTATTTTAATCTTCCTTGATCCAGAGACTTAAAAAAAATTTTTTTTTCCCTTCTGGAAATGAATCAAGAAGTTTAAATTGAATTTCCAAAGATCGAAAAGGGGAAAGAAGCTGCTTCGGGTGACAGGAGAGCAGCTGTCCAGGAATAGATTAAAAATGCTCTGCTCCACCAAGGTGGAGCTGAAAATGTGCTTGGGGTTTCATAGCAGGCTAATTCTTGGTACTGTGACCTGTATTTCACGTAGATAAAATGCACTTATTTAAGTGTGGGCCAAAGAGACCCTTAGGCAGTTTGCACGGTTCCAAAATGGAATTCCCTGAAAGACATACTAATAAGACTATTTGTGAAGGTCATGCCTTTGGAAGGAAGATGTGGTTCTAGAGCAGAGGGTTGTGAACCCCTGTCAAATCGAACCCACTGCCTGCTGAGTAAATAATATGCTATAAGGGCTTCCCAAGGCACTAGTGGTAAAGAACCTGCCTGCCAATACAGGAGATGTAAGAGACGTGGGTTCGGTCCCTGGGTCGGGAAGATCCTCTGGAGGAGGGCATGGCAAGCCACTTCACTATTCTCGTCTGGAGAATTCCCATGGACAGAGGAGCCCGGTGGGCCACAGTCCACAGGGCTGCAGAGAGTCAGACCCGACCGAAGCAGCTGAGTATGCACGTCCGTGCACATGCTACCAGGGCAGAGCTGAGCAGCTGCACAGAGGAGGCGGCCCACAGCAGTCTAAAACATTTACCGCTGGCCTTTTCAGGAAGAAGGCCCGTTCTCTCAGGGCCTCAAGGCGGCCCTGTTTCCGTCTCTTCATCCACCAGCCTAGCTGGGGGATACGGTATATCAAGTACCCCACGAAGAGCTGACCACTCCAACCCTGACTAGGCTGTGCTTCTGCCGCCATGCCAGACTCTGCTGCCCGAGAGTGCCTGAGCCACAGTGTAGTTAAGATGGGCAAAGCGGTTGAAGCACCTCTGTTCTCAGACAGCAGAGGCCAGAAGAGAAATAGGTAAGAACTTTATTTTTTGAAACTTTAATATTAGCAACCATTAGAGGGGAATCTTCTTTAACTTAATCTTTTCTTCAACGTTTGAAAAGTATCTCATCTTTGTTAAGAGTTCCTTGGCTTTTTCAAAATTGTCTGAAATAAAGAGAAAGATTAATGTGAGAGGCTTCATTTCAAGCAAGAATAAAATCATTCTACCACCCAAGGCAGCTGGATCAAAGCTGAGCGCCGGGCTCTGGAAGGCTGATCAGTTACTCAGTAGATCTGAGAGAGGGAGACAGAACACCCTGAATCGCTCTCGGGGACAGAGGACTTACACCCAAAGGGAGCAAAAGCATGCTTGTTCACAGGATTCAGACTTTAAATGAGAAGCTGATTCTTTTTCAGCATGATACCCAGTATAATTAAGTTGTGTTTTTTGTTTTTTAGATTAATTAAATCTTGGTTCTGCCGAGTCTCTGCTGCTGCACGGGCCTTACTCTAGCTGTGGCGAGCGGGAGCTACTCCGTCTGTGCTGCTTGGCCGTCTCATTGCTGTCTCCTCTGCTGCGGAGCAGGGGCTCGAGGGCACAGGCTCAGGAGCCGTGGTGCATGGGCTTAGTTGCTCCGTGGCCTGTGGGACCTTCCCAGACCAGGGATCGAACCCGTGTCCCCTGCATTGGCAGGCAGATTCTTTGCCACTGGGCCACCGAGGAAGTTCCTAAGTTGTGTTTGAAGAGTTCTCCCCCTGTCATGTATGGTGGTCGAAACCTGATAAGGAATGTGGAAGCACCTGGTGCAGGGGGAGAAGGATGGAATGGACCAACAGGCCACCACATTCAGGACTGCAGTCTTGGTTCCAGACTGCTTCTACTTTCCAGCAACAACTCTCATCACACTGTATGGACTCATCTCTGGGACTTTGGATTCTGAGAGGTGTCCCTAACTCCTTAGAATAACCTCCTTTTACCTGGGTTAGTATGAGTTGCTTTCTCCTTCCTGCAGTGGAATGATCCCTAGGCCAAAGGGATATTATTGTCTTATTTAAGGGGTGGCACAAGACAGGGATAGAGGGAATGGGGCTCTGCCAAACGTTGAGTGTGCAGCCTTGCCCTCAGGTCAGTCTGGGTTGGCTTCAGCCCACATCCCTCACCTTATCTTCTCCTACTTGCCAAAGGGGAATGGGAGCATTTTCTCTCATCTAGTCTTCAGTGGACATTTACTGGCTTAGCACACACCTGGATTCTCTAGCAAGACTGTGAATCCTTGAAGGCAGAAATGTAGGCTCATCTCTATTTTACCGCTCCCCACATACCTGTCATAGGATGGGCATATAATAGCTACTTATTGAATGAATGGTTATATCTCAGTGCTTAGTATTTCTTTCCATATTTAAGAAAGTCATGAAATGAAGGAAGTACCTCTTTCAAAAGCTCTGCTCACATCATCAGTCAGTTCTTTCTGTTTAGCTGAAAGAAGAAAACCAAGATCTTAATTTTTCTATTTAAGTAGACTGATAATATGAAGACAACCCTCTGTCATCTTGTTGTGAATACAGCATAGCAGGGAGCTTGGATTCAAGGGTGAGGCCTCATGACCTCTGTCTCTACATGTGCGCAGTGGAAGCTCCTGTTCCGTGCAGCTCTGGCTGACCCCAGTTACACTGTTTTCCTACCCACGCAAGGTCTGAGGGGCAATCACCAAAGTTCATAAAATGGCTACAGAAGCATTAAAAAAGAAGAAAGGACAAGGAAATATCTTATCTCCACCAAGCACTCTGAGTCTTCCAGGTTTCAGCTAGGAGAAAAATCAATAAGCTGGGCTCACCTATCAGCAGGGTGTTACAGAATCAGGCAACCACTAGGAAATCATACAGCCTCTCCTTCCCAGGTAGCACTAGTGGTAACTCTCCTGTCAGTGCAGGAGACGTAAGAGACGCAGGTTCAATCCCTGGGTCGGGAAGATCCCCTGGAGAAGGAAATGGTAACCCATTCCAGTATTCTTGCCTGGAGAATCCCATGGACAGAGGAGCCTTGTGGACAATGGTTCATGGGGTTGCAAAGAGTTGGACACGACTGAAGCGACTTAGCACTTAGAACGTACCTGAAGATAGAAGATGCCAGATGAAGTAAAGGAGCAGCTCTCTCATGCTTGCATTATTTCCTCATTAGGAAATGAGGAGTTTTATAAGTGCATTTCCCAGTTACAGACAGTATTAATCATTTATCGGGGTACCTGCTTTCAAAGCACTTTTAAATATATTTTATCCCCATCATAGGCAACGACAGGTATTGGGAAAATGTACTATGGTTACACAGCTGGTGAGTAGAAGAGCTCGGAACAGACCCCAAGTCACCTGTCTCCAAGTTCAGTGGCTAGAAACTCACTTTTCTGGTAGCAATGTGGTGTCGACAAAAAAAAACACTGGATTAGGAGTCTGGAGGCTCTGAAGTCCTGACCCCAAAACCATCTAGCTCATGCCCTTAAACATTCACTTTAACTGGGCCTTAGCAGGTAAGGGAGGAAATTTAGGAATTACTCTAAATGAAGATCAGTGATCTGCTTAAAGCCAGACATTAACTATAGAGCTAAAATAACCCCCACCACTGACCGAGCACTTACTATGAACCAGGCTCTGTATCAAATGTATTACACACTTTGTTGTCCAGTTGCTAAGCTGTGTCTGACTCTTTGCGACCTTATGGACTGCAGCATGCCAAGCTTCCCTGTCCTTCACTATCTCCTGGAGTTTGTTCAAATTCATGTCCATTGAGTCAGTGATGCCATCAAATCATCTTATCCTCTGTTGCCCTGTTCTCCTCCTGCCCTCAATCTTTTCCAGTATCAGGGTGTTTTTAACTTATTTAATACTTGCAACAATGGGTACTAATATTGTCTCCATTTTACAGATGAGGAAACTGAGTCTCAGAGGGGGTGAAGGCACTTTGCTCAAGGTCACACAAAAAGTCGGTGGCAGTGTTGGGACTGAACCCAAGTCCACATCACCCAGAGCTTCATGGTCCTCTGCCTGCCAAAGCCATGCAGCTGGGTCTTCTGACTGCAAATGCCGAGCTTCTCTTTTTCCAACACCACACAGCTCTAGTGCTGATACAGCCCCACTGGACAGTTCCCCCACCACAACTTCTATTTTACTGCTTTTAACTTGTTTGTTATTTTTTATTCACTCACTTGATAAATATTTACTGAGTCCTCGTTACACTCCAAGTACTGTTATGTGTGCTGAGGATGTGAGAGAAGAAAAAAACAGACACAATTTCTGCCTCCGCAGAACTTCTGGTCTAATGGGGGAGGCTGATGTGGGGCTGATAATCTCACATAGAACAATAAGGTTATAACTATTATTAGTCCTACAAAAGAGGGGTACTCTCGGCTAAAAGACATAGAGGTCCTCTGAGGATTTCCTGAGGAAGTGGGGACTGCCCCCAGATCTGAAGGAGGAAGAGTTAGTAGATGGGGTGGAGGAGAAGGGGATTTTGGGCAGAAGCAACAGTACCTACAAATGCCCTGGGCAGGAAGGTGGAAAGTACGGATGAAGAACTGGAAACAGCCTGCATGGCTGGACTGGAAGGAGCAGAGGCCCAGCTATCCAGGTCTCTTTAACCTGAAAGTGATGGGGAGCCAAGGGAGCCACTTCAAGTTTTTAATCAAGGCCAAGGGTGCGATGATTAGATCTGGGTTTCAGAAAGACAACACACGTGATAGCACAGGAATATATCAGACTGAAGGTAGAGATGGACTGGTCGGAGTTACTCCAGTCATCCAGATGGGAGAGAATGGTAGCTTGGGACAGGGTGGTGGCAGTGAAAATGGATGGATGGATTTGAGACACAGTAAGAAGGTCAGTTTTTCAAGACTTGGCGACAGACTGTCTATCGGGGGAGGGGGAGTCAGTTGGGAAGAACGCTTATGCAGTGTTTTGGACTTGAGTAACTGCAGAGGGTCATCTACTTAGAAAGGGAATATCCGCAGAGGATCAGGTTGGTTTTGGGGGGCGGAAGATGGACACTCATGACCTCCATGTGGGACACACTGAATTGGAACACATAAACTCCATGAGGGCCCAGGTTATGTCCTTCTGTTCCCTGCTGGATTCTCGGTGTCCTGCACAGTGCCTGATACACAGTAGGCACACCACAGACATTTGTGAAAGTTTGTACATGCATGCAATTTGAGTGAGAAACCTGGAGCCTTTTCTACTTGGCATGGTTAACTATATGTGCCAACTTGTTTAGGCTGCAGTGCTCAGTTGTCTGGTCAAACACAAGTCTAAATGCTGCTGTGAAGGTTTTCTGTAGACGTGATTAACATTTATAGTCAGTTGACCTTAAGGAGATTATCTTTAATAACACAGGTGGGCCTCATCAAATCAGTTGAAGACAGTGAGCAAAAACTGCGTTTTCCTGAAGAGGGCATTCTTCCTCATGACTAACATAGAAGTCCTGCCTGAGTTTCCAGCCTGCTGATCTATCTGAAATAGTTTGGATTTGCTAGCTCCTACAATCACATGAGCCATTCCTTAAAATAAGTTTCTCTCTCCACACACACACACACACACACACAAACACACACACACAAACACACACACTATTGATTCTGTTTCTCTGGAGAACCCTGACTGACCCTCTAGGGAATAAAGTGAAAGTAAAGCAATATGGGATCATAAGAGCAAGGTTTCATTCTTTGCTCTGCTACATCTGCTGAGTGACTTTGGGTATTCCCATGAACTTCTGAGGCCTATTTTTCTTGGCAGAGATAATATCATCATCCAAATGATGTCATGGGTGGGAAAGAGCACTGTGGTCTACAAAATACTATTACATTCTTAGTTTAAGCCTGCTTTCCAGAGAATTAGGGATTTTGCAGGTCTAACAGAATGGGTTTCAGTATCATCAAGAAAAAAAAAATTCCCCAAGCACTATGAAGACCAATGTGTCGTCTTTATATCCATTTTCCACTTAACCTCTACATATACAGGGATTTCCCTGGTGGTTCAGAGGTTAAGAACCTGCCTTTGGGCTTACCTGGTGGCTCAGATGGTGAAGTATCTGCCTGCAATGTGGGAGACCTGGCTTCTATCCCTGGATTGGGAAGATCCCCTGGAGGAGGAAATGGCAACCCACTCCGGTATTCTTGCCTGGAAAATCCCATGGATGGAGGAGCCTGGTGGGCTACAGTCCATCGGGTCGCAAAGAGTCGGACATGACTGAGTGACTTAGACTCTATGTGTACTCAAAATAGCAATATAATATATCTGGTACTATTTTATCTTTTACCTCTGACAATAGATTCAATCTCTTTCATGGCAGTTTCACCTTGAGCTTCTGCAAGTTTTTCATTGATTTCCATTATTTCCGTGAGGAATTGACTATCCAGCTCATAGTCTGTCCCTTCGGGAATCTCTACTCCATGGAGCTTTAGCTATTGGGGCATAAAGCAGGGAAAATTAAGTTTAACTCAAGAAATTATGGCTAGAGTCATAAATCCTACTCACCATAAATCCTTCTTACCCTTTAGAACAAAATGTCACTCACAGAGAAAACTTGAAGTGTCCCAGTGATGAAACTGGGACTGAGATAGGAGTATTGGAACTCTCCTACCTGGAACTATGTGACCCTAGGGGAGTCATTCCTCCACTTGAGAGGTTGAACTATCTATCTGTAAAGATTCCATTAAATTCTAAAACTCTAAGGTGCTCACTTCTCTACTAGCAACAAAACAAAAATTACTCTTTCCTAAAAGCCAGTACAGTCTAATTCTTTAAATTTGTAGCAAATGGTAAAAAAAAAAAAAAAGGCAACTGGGCAAGTAAAGTTTATAGAGATACTCAGAAAACTATACGCATGTAGTTTTTTTTTTTTTTTGCATGTAGTATTTTTGAGGTTAATTATGGGTCCCTAGACTAGCTAAGATCTCAAGCACTCTTCTGTTGAATACAGGGGAACAGCTGTCCCCCAGAGCAATGGGATCAGGCAATCATGATAGAACGGTTGGAAAATCACCTTACAAGGTATAGTCCCCTGCTCAGGGGGGCCAGAAGGGTCTTATAGGCCTCATTGACAATGGTTGAATGCTTCTCTGAGAAGTCCTTTTCATTCTGTAAGTGGAAATGAAGATAGTCATATTACCACACAAATCAGCCATCTTACATTCACAAACTGTTTCATAAAACACTGATGGGCAGGCACATAAGGAAGGAGAACTGGTGTGGGATAAGCTGTTTTAATTTTCAGACAATGGGTTTTAATTCTGCTAGGAATTAAGGTAAAAGCTCTGAGTGTAGGATTGATCCAGGGCCTGGTTGGTTGTAATCAGGCTGCCCCAGGGCAAAGCTGGTTGCCCAGTTTTGTCCCTGGTAATCTCATAACCACAGGCCACTGCACACAGGGTGCATATGTGTTTGGGTATGATTGTGCTATGTCTGTTGTGCTAACTCACTTCAGTCATGTCTGACTCTTTACGACCCTTTGGACTGTTGCCCACCAGGCTCCTTTGTCCCTGGGATTTTCCAGGGAGGCATACTGGAGTGGGTTGCCATGCCTTCCTCGAGGGGAGCTTCCCCACCCAGAGAATGATTAGGGGTGGCCAACAGGCTTACCTGAGACCTCTGGCTGAAGAAATCTGGGTGGACAAGGCGCTGTAGTTGCTGGTATCTATGTTGGAGCTTCACAGTGTCAACTCTGAAGGAGCGGTTGCTGGAAGGAAATCAGGAGATGAAACTCATGCATCAGATATTTATAGATATATAAATATACTATGGGCCTGGTTCCTCTTCTCAGGGGGGACACAATAAACATGCAGACAAGAGCTATTCTAGAAAGTAGTAGGTACTGCAAAGGAAAACAAATAGGGTCAGAGAATGGTAGATGGAGTGGACAAAGAGATGACATTTGAGCTGAGACATAAATGATGATGAGGAGTAATCAGAGATCAGAGGAAAGATGCATTCAGGCACAGGGAACACGCAGAGACCTTGAAATTAGAACAAGATTGGCATGCTTGAACAACTTACAGGGTAGTGTTACTGCAGCCCTTCATAAGTGCTCAGTGACTGGTGGGGCCATAGCCCAGAGTTAAGGGGTATTCCAGAATCATACTCTATTTTTCTAAGGCTCAGGTCCCTTTATTTCTGCCTCTCACTTTATTTTAAACGTATCCCCTTCGCTTTTTATTCCCAGAACCTGCCCTATCTCTATAGCTTCGGCCAAATTTCTCACCTCTCCAAACTCCTCGACCTTCCGCGGTGGCGATAAACAGGAAAAACACTTATTTCTCAGAACCCTCCAGTTCTCACTTTTCCCTTAGACTCTGCCCACAGCCTTAAGTTTTTCCATGCTCTTACTCTCGTATTTTGGATACCACTTCTGTACTTCTTTCTTAAAAATCTCAAGCCAACTTTAAACATTCTGAACTTCAAGCTTCTATGCTCCAAAGTGAAAGTGAAAGTCTCTCAGTCGTGTCCAACTATTGAGACCCCATGGACTGTACAATCCATGGCATTCTCTAGGCCAGAATACTGGAGTGGGTAGCCTTTTCCTTCCCCAGGGGATCTTCCTAACCCAGGGATCCAACCTAGGTCTCCCGCACTGCAGGCGGATTCTTTACCAGCTGAGCCACAAGGGAAGCCCGTAATTAATGAATCTTCCCAACCCAGGGGGTCGAACCTAGGTTTCCTGCATTGCAGGAGGATTCTTTATCAGCTGAGCCACCAGGGAAACCCAAGTATATCTATCCCTTCTCCAGCAGACCTTCCCGACCCAGGAATTGAACCGGGGTCTCCTGCACTGCAGGCAGATTCTTCACCAACAGAGCTATCAGGGAAGCCCTAGGGCCGCGCAAGTATCCTCCCCTCAAAGCCCCGCCTCTCAACTTGGCCTTCTCTCAGAACCCGCCCCTCAAGCCTCCCTCCATTGCTGCCCTCAAACTTCAGGTTCCCCTAACCACTCCCCGCCTCTCCACTCCAAGACTCGCTCTCGTCTTCATCCCCCTTTCTAAGGCGTCGTCGCTCAGGCCAGCCCCTTAATTTCTTCCCCAGATACATCCCTCGCACCCTTCTCGACCAGGCTCCACCCCCAGCCCGGTCCTCCAGGGCCCCGCCAACCTGTGTGACTGGTTCAGCCTTCCTCCTCCCCTAGCCCGACCCGCCCTCCCCTCTCGCACGTCCAGACGCGTTTCAGGAAACGGCCTCCATACCAGTCCATGAGGCTGAAGTAGTCTCGAGTCGGGTCAGGTGGCTGCAGCGCCCGGCAGTGAGGGCAGAAGAACCGGTCCCCCCGCGATGGGCCCCCTAGGCCGCCGCAGCTCCAACATCGTGGGGAGCTGCTTCCTGCCAGCGAAGCAGCATTGCAGTTTAGCAGTCTTCTCCCGAGCACCCCTGTCGGCCACCACCCCGACGCGCGGAGCAAGGCCCCAGTCCTTCCGCCCCACATCGGGCCGACGGCCTGCCTCGCCGAGGTCACCTGAGGCTGACCAGACTCGTGCTAGTGATTGGCTGGGGAACTGGGCGGGGGGCGGGACCACCCGGGGGAAACCTGGATTCTGAGTCCCGCTCTGCAACTTAAACTACAACTCCCAGAAAGCATTGAGGTTGCGGGGGCGGCCACATCCGCTGCTTCTCATTGGTCCGGCGGGAGCGGAGGGGTGTTTTGATTGGTGGAGGGTGGAGTTTGTATCTGTGGGTTTAGCGCCACTCCGCTAGCTGCGGCTGCTCTGGGTTGCACTCTTCTAGAGGGGCTCACGCGGTGAGTCATAGTGGGGAGCTTCTTTTGGGTATTTAGGGGTTCGAATCCTGTCCTCAGGGTCTTATTGCGAGCTGAATCTCCAGAGCCTCCATCTTGTCCTGTGTTTGAGCTCGGGAAGCGGGGGGAAAGAAGAATGCGTGGGCGACTGTCTTCCTCCTTTGTAGACAAACTTCGAGGTGCATTTCACTTCCCTTGATACTTGCAAGCAGAAACTGGCCCAGAAGTACAGGATAAGAAAGAACAAAGTTGTGCTCTTCAGAATCAGAGCCAAGCTGCTCTGCAGAAAGTTTTAAAGGTGTTAGTAATTATTATCATAGTTTGGTTCAATCTGAAAAATGCCTTTTGAGAACCCATTCTCAATAGGCGCTGCTGGAACTGAAAGCACGCTGACTTGTATAGGAAGATGCTTCGAGAGTGTCCGCAAGGAAGTGTGGGGGATTGGGTGGCAAAGGGAGGGGAGGGGGCCACCAGTCTTCCTTGGGACGCAGTTTCTCTATTTGAGAAAAAATAAATTGTGTTGCACTTGTAAGGCCTTTCCTTGCATTCAGATTCTTTGGGCCTGAAAGTCCGATTATCAAGCTTTACTGAGGGGGTGGGGTTGAAAGAGGGTTGAAGCAGCGTCTCATTTGATTTTCTAGCTCCGTCTACTTTTTTAGGTTCTGAGAGGCTGTGATCTACCTAAAGGTCATGCGAAGAGCTGGCTTAGCTGACTCCAGATCTGTTTGCTTATAACCTCTCCACTATCTGTGGCGGAGGCCCTTGTAGTCCTGGTGTGGTGGACCCTTCTTATCAGGTGCGATGATAGCAGCTACCTCTTGACACACTGTCTTTTGCCACTTTTCAGGGCGGAGTTTTGCTCCAAAGGCGCAGGAGGTCACTCCTCGGCTGAGGTGGTATCAGAGCAGCAGGTCCTGAAGTCGAAGCTCTGGCAGCACCTCCCTGGTGCACTTCCGGGAAACCTCATCGGACTTTTGCATCTGGAAGGCCTGTGTAAATGTAATAGCCTGTGTCAGTCATGTTTACTATATTTTTCTTGAGGGGTAGCCTGAGTGTGGAAATCTGGAGAGAAAGCACTTAAAAAAAAATCAGATTAGGGATTTAAAGTTAGGGTTTGAAAGTTACTTTGACTTCACTGTAGTTTCTGTTATTGGGGTTTAACTGTCAAATTAAATTCTAAAACAAGGGTGGGAACCTCTGTTATGATCTTCTGTGTGTCTGAATGGTTCCTTCTGTTGTGCTTGGAGGTCGTTTGGGATGCTGAAAAGATGAGCCCCATAGTTAATTAGCATCACAAAGGGCTAGGTGGGGTTGTTTAGTGCTGCCTTAGTGTTTTGCTTCATTAAGTGGCCCAGCTTTTAGTTTGGTGTCTAGGTATCTGGAATGACCTTAGGTCCTACCCTCCAGGAGCTGGTTTTTGGAAGGGGCATCAGTGACATTTTATGTAAATATCACCCCTGGGGTAATGCAGCCAATTTCTGTAGAATTTTTCTTTGCCCATCATCTATGCCAAGCCACCCGACCTTTCCCCTTCTTTGCTTTCTGAAAATACATGTGAAGTTTAAGTGTAGTGTTGATTGTATTAATGAATACATTTTAGGTTCTATTTCTTTTTTCTTAAAAAATATTTATTTATTAATTTGGCTGCACCGGGTCTTAGTGACAGCCTGTGGGATCTTTTTAGTTGTGGCCTGAGGGATCTAGTTTCCTGACCAGGGATTGAACCCGCCGAGCCCCCTGAATTGGGAGCACAGAGTCTTAGCCACTGGACCACCAGGGACCACCATTTCTAATTTTTAACATTTGGATGAGTGTAAGCTTTTATGAGTCTCTCCCCCTCCCCAATTCAGTATCTTTGTTTTTTCACTTATTTATAGCCTTCAGATTATTTCTTTGTTTCTTTCCCCTGTGGTTTGTGGCTGTTACACAAAAAACTTATCAGGTGAATTTCACAATGATCGGATGAGAAACTCAGCTCAGAAGAGTGATAGCTGAAGACTGTTGGAATTTTAATTTCTGCAGAGCCTGCTTGTCCTGGATCTTCTTTTTTGTGTTGTTTTGGCTGTTGAAATATGCCTATCCTTCACTGTTGACCTTTAAGTCTTGTTCCTTGAGACTCACCTGGTTGTGGGACGCTTATTTTTGAGGTGGTGATGTCTTGGGAGAGGAATGTGGAGTGTCAGCAGCCCCGCGGCAGCGCCTCCCCGAAGTCCCAAGGCGGCTTCTCGCAGTCCCAAGGTCCCTCCTCGCAGCCACACAGCTCCTCTTCACAGTCCCAGGGCACGTCCAGCCAGTCCTCTCACTCCAGCTCCGGCACGCTGAGCTCCTTAGACACAGTGTCTACGCAGGAACTCTATTCTATTCCGGAGGACCAAGAACCCGAGGAGCCTGTCCCTGCCCCTTGGGCTCGATTATGGGCCCTTCAGGATGGATTCTCGAATCTTGGTAAGATCTTTTATGTAGTGCAATATTTTGCTCAGAAAAACAGTTACAGAAAGTTGTTGCAACAGATAACCCAAGACACTCCTGGAATGATTCTGGAGTTTGGAGGTGGTGAAAGACAGAACGGAGAAAGCAGTTTTGGGTAGTGCACTGGCTCTTACTTGCTGTGGATCCCCTTCATTTATTCTTTCACCAGATGTTGACTTGGCCTCTACCATGTGTTGTCCATCTGAGGAGGGTTGTGGATCTTTCCCCTTGAAGAATACTGATTCATGCAAACTTGCAAACATTTGTTGTCTAATCACAGAAGTGTCATCACTTCACTCCTGCTCTGGTGCAGCAGTTTCAGAGCATCTGTGTTACAGTCTCAGGATGGGGGAGGTTATTTGTTGACTCCCTGTTATTTGTTGTTATCTCAAAATAGCCAACCTTGCTGTTTAAATGTACTCATCCACTCTGACAGCTGATTCCAACAGTGAGACTTTGCTCTCAGTATGTTTTATGTAGTATCTTTCCTCTGGTCTTGAATTAAAATGACCTCTTCATTAAAAAGATGGCTCAGCTGGTAAAGAATCAGCCTGCCAATGGGGAGACACAGGAAATGTGGGTTCTATCCCTGGGGCGGAAAGATCCCTGGAGAGAGAAAACGCCACCCACTCTGGTATTCTTGCCTGAAAAATCCCATGGACAGAGGAGCCTGGAGGGCTACAGTCCAGTGGGTTGCAAAGTCGGACACAACTGAACGACTGAAATACGCACAATATACCTCATTAAAAAAAAATGAACTTGATGTTAATGGAATAGAGAATAATAATATAAGGAAATGAATGACTAATGTACCATTTTGTACCTTGTCACTCACCTTTCCTTTTATATCGTGTGCAACTTGGTGACTTGAAAAAACAGCAAAAAATGGAGAAATAATATAACAATATTCATATGTATAACTTTAAATTTAGAAGTAAACATTTGAAGCTATTTTTTACTCATTTAAGCCATATTTTTAAGATAGGCTTAGGGCTGATGTGTGGTGACTGGGACACAGAAGTGTTAAGAGTGAAGTGGGATGTATCTCCTGTATTTTTTTTTAATTTTTAAAAATTAAAAAAAATTAATTTATTTTAATTGGAGGCTAATTACTTTACAATATTGTAGTGGTTTTTGCCATACATTGACACGAATCAGCCATGGGTGTACATGTGTTCCCCATCCTGAACCCCCCTCCCCCATCCCTCCCCATCCCATCCCTCTGGGTCATCGCAGTGCACCAGCC